GACTTTCTCTCAGTTCTCACTCAAAACACCTCTGATACCCTTAATGACTGCAATGCCATGGGGCTTTGTCCTTCCTTATGCAATGCTGATAGTCAGCTTTATTAGAAGGGAAGAGACAAGAGAATACTTGCCCCCTTTTTAGATCCACAGGAATGTTTAAAATATAGAAAATAAAGAGCAGGCTGTAAGAATACTATTGTGCATCTTTAGAACATCATTCACACACACAAAAAAATACTATCATGCAGAGTACACTTATCAATTACTCCAAGCAGCAGAGGAAGGTCATTAGAGAGATTCTTAATTTTCAGCAAGACCAATAAGGTCTGTGGTTACAGAGAGACTTTGATGCATGGCATGCCTTGGGGATTCCAGTAATCTGGAAAAAAGCATCAATAGGAGTTTTGGCAGAATCAAAAAACTGGAGAAGTTTGCTCTGAAATGCAAAGAAACCAAGTTGAAGTACTGTTATCTCCCTAGAACTGAGTGTTCAAAATTGCAAGCAACTTTGCCATTCTTCAATGTTTTCATGTTCTTTTAGCAAAAAAAAATGAAAGCACAAAGAGCCTCCATGTCCTCACTGCTGTTAAGATGTCTGTAAATATTTACAGTGAGGTAAAAATCAGGTCAAGTGTTGGCTTTGATTCATTATCCCAGAGGCTGCAGTTGCAAAGGGGTCTCTCCAGTCCCTAGAGCTGACCCTGCCAAAGAGAGGGCCTGAGTTTGTACAGTACATACAGGAAGCCAAAACAATCAGAGGATTAATCTTCAAAACACTTGTAGAGTTGAGATAACAGGCTGCCATTAAACTGCTGTATGATAAAAACACATCAGGAAAAAGAGAGCAGGCAAGCTTCTGGCCTGTGAAGTATGTACAAAGGCAGGGGGGTCTTGCTCTGGAGGATGGAGCCAACCCAAAGGCATCAGTTAAAAAGTCAAAGCAGTGCCTGGATGAGGCTTCTGATGTCAACTGATTTCACTCTAGATCCAGAGCTCACATCTTACTTCACTGACCTCACTCTCCCGACAGAGGCTCAGAGCCCAAAACAACACAGGAACTGCTGAGAAAGCGTGTCAGAGCAAAATTCCTTTTGCTTTGCATCATATTCCTCCTTAATCGTTAATTACTGGAAAATCATTGCCAAGCAAATCCTTCTGCAAGATTTGCTGACACGGAAGGAAGCCCCATTAAAAACAAACTCCACTGAACAACCAGCCTGTCACACTGCCACTCAACAGCCATTAATTTACTAATAAATGTGGCTTTTAGTATTTTCTTTGCCTACCTCTCTCAAAATGCCTGGAAAACCTAATATTTAAAAACTGAAACAAATACTAATTGCATATTTTCCTTTGCTTTTAGATATTTACTTCAGGCTCTGCAGTTTGATAATTCAAACCAGAACTGAGTGAATTCACCGTTTTTCCTGACTGAGCAACATCAAAGGCTTACCTGAAAAATCAGGTTACACTACGTTTAACACAGCACCTTCATTTTGGGCCAAATGGGACAGATTTTTTTTTTTATTGTTTTTGTTTTCTTTAAAATAATTTTTAACAGAATTAGAACTCAGTTCTTCCATTTTCCAGTTGTTTTATATTTTACAGTTTGGCTGGGAAGCAGCCCTCTCAAGTTAACAGACTAAACCAGGACACAGGTCCAGAGAAAACTTAACCATGACTCACAGGAATTCCTGAGAAATTAGAGCAATTACAATTGCTCTAATTTAATTTATCAGTTCATAGAAAACTGACAACTGCTGTACTCAAGATGAATGAAGTGATGCTAAATCCAACCTCTGCTTTCCAGGGATACACAGTTCTACTCTGGGACAATGCTTGGATGGTATTTCCAGATAAAAGCACAAAGTCCAGTAACAAGGGGAGCAAACACACCAGAGAAGTGAGGGAGTTTCTATGTGTCTGTCTCCTCATGATTCATCTGATAAGAAGATAAATGAGGTTAAAATTCCTTCTGCTGTTTTCAACCACACCTAGTCCAGGGAGAAGCCAGCACCACAGAGGATTCTAGTTCTATCAACTAGTAACAAATTTTTCAGAAAACCTTGTTACCTGTAGCTTCAAATAGATTAAAAAATGCTCATTATTTCTGAAAAAAAAAGTATCTGAGGACTGATCCTTTTATCTAACAAATATATAATAGAATTGTCTTGTGATGCATGACATTTGATGATTCTTATTTAATAAGTATTTTATATGAGTATCAGCAAATGACAGCACAGCCACTCATTATTTTCACCAACTGCAACATGAACTACTTCAACCAAGTTTCTGGTGACGTTGTCTCAAGCTTCTTAGTGCACAAGTCTGATTATGACTTGATACTTCCTCCTTGAGCCCCACCAACTAACAATGGGTATTTGCTTCCTGGCATCTACTTTCTAAGCTGGTCTCATTAGCACTGAAATACAGGGGAGTGTCTTCAAATCTGATAGACCCTAAAGCATAACTGGCATTAATTTTGACTGTACTTCAAAAAAAAAAAAAGTAGCTATTGCTGCTGGACACAGTGTGCCTGATGCATTTTGGATTTTCTATTTGGACATTCCAGCCTCCTGTTTGGAATGTATTATGGATCTAACTGCACCACAGAAGACCTCTCTCATAAACCATCTGTCATATAGTAATTCACCTGCTGGATAAGCACTTTGGTTAGAGTACAGTCAGGACTGAAGTTTTATTATTTAGCAAACAAAGGGCAGACATTACAAGCACACAAGTAAGTATATATTTATGTAATGAGCAGAAGGAAACAGAAGAGTTCAAATGGTATTGTCTCTGTGAGCATGTTTTCCACTGCATAAAATGTAGCAACTAATGACCTACTTTAAAACTGCACATTCACAGTTGCAGTCCAAATTCCACTACAACATTCTGCTCCACCACACGTCAGCAGAAACACCACCAACCTATCCACAGAGACAATACTGCTTATGGCAACGTGGCCAAACTAAATGTCACTATTTTTGTACAATTAGGTAGGCTAAAACTTAGCTATCAGGACTAGGTTAGATCACAGAGTCACATCTAGGGTTATCCAAAAGGAGGTTATCTAGAAATTCACAGAAACTTACAGACGAAGGTCTCCACGTGGGTGCAGAGGTCGCCACACTTGGGGCAGCGCAGCTGGTTCCCTCCTTTCCCAGAGCTTCCAGAGCTGGACTTTTTACCACTCCCCTCACCGACAGACTTCTAGAAAAGATTTCCATACAATTAGCCCCAAACAATGGAGCTGTTACATTAGACATTTCAGCAGCGTGTTTACGGAATCCAGTAACGTGGGTACAGCAACAGCTGAATGACAAAACTACTGCCAGGAGTTTTTAAAGGCTTTGAAAACCTAGAAAAACACAATATAAATGTTTTGAAGTTTATACATTTGCATTTCTCAGGTTTGCCAGTTTTGGATGACTGTGGAAGAGTCATCCCATATCTACATTACAACTGCTTGACCTGCACTAGATTGACAAGCTGAACTGTATCAAGAAATCTTTAATGGCACATTTCAATGTGATTTATTCTAACCCCAGAGAAGCAAACAGACCATACTTATAGAGAGAGCAATTTCATTATTGCAACCATGTTGATTCTAAGGGTTTCTGAAGCCAGAACTCTTCTCAAGTCCTTGACAGAGGTAGCTAAGCTGGCTGTAAGGCAGATATGGCCTATTAAACAAGCATCTCAGAAATTGCTTGGAAATATTGTATTTTCTACTTCTAAGGCAGAGGTTCCTGACAGAGACCTGCTTGTCTTTCTCCATGTTGCCATGGTTAGTGTTAAGTTTTAAAAATCTATACCTATTCTATGCCTTCATCCCTAGATTAACAGTAAAAGTTTTTATATTTTAGGGAACAGCAAAGATCTCTCTTCCCTTTTCTAATGAGTTCCTCATTCTTTTTAAACTTTCTCTGCCTACTTGTTTCTCCTTGCAACCCTTCAAGAAAAACACTACTAAAAAATTTTTATCTTCCTTTTTTTTTTAAAAGATGTTTCACTGAATGTCACACCTGTGACATCTGAGGAACTGTCCAGATGACACAACACACCATACTAAGGCAAAGCTATTGCCTGTGAACTCTCAAAATTTTATTTGCTGACTAAAGAGCAGTTTTATCCTCAGGTAATCATTTATCTGAAGAAGCTATTTATTAACTATAATTATAGAGAAAGACTAGGCCAAAAATAGATTACAATTTACTGACAATAAAGCAAGTTTCCTCACAAACTCTGTCTTGCTTAATACAATTACTAAATCAGCACTGAAAATAAAAAATAAAATAAAAAAATTAATATGTACTTCCTTTAAACAGCCTCCCTGGGAGCAGCAGGCTTTTGAAGAATACTTTTGATTATTACTCTTTCCTGAGATCCTGAAACCTGATGTGGATGTATAATGTTCTATAAAGTTGTCAAGTGTCCCTTTACACCAGCCAAAAAGATTTATAAACCTGGGAAAAGTGTTATGGGGCACTGATAAGGTTTGTCTGCTATCAAATTCAGGATACAACTTATTTTTCTTTTACTGTCAGTTTTATCAATTTGGAGGATCATAAACGTCAAGAGTTAGCAAACATTTCAAGATGTTTTTGGTAGATTTCAAGACTAGCATTTAAGAACCATTTTATAGAAGCTGTTGAAAAACATAACATGTGGAGATTACCTTGCTTCCATCTCCAGAACCATCCTTGCTTGCACCATCCTTTGAAGCAAAATAGGCTGGTGTTTCTGAAAAGTTCCTAAGAGGAATTCGTCTCAGGGAACACGTTTCAAAAGTCCCAAGTTTCCCTAAAACAGGGATGCGTGTACGACCACAAGTGATACCTAAAAAAAAGGAAAAAATTCAAACATTACAAATACTCTGGCTCTAGTCCAAATGCCATCAAATCCCAGAATTTATTTACATTAAATGGAGCTCAAAAGTTTCAGCAACAGAACTCAACTCTGTGCATCCAATTTTCAGTTATAAAAAGAAATTCTCTTCACCACTTTAATGTTCATCTCATTAAAAGCCACCTGGATTATCCAAAAATGACCCCAAAGTAATTCCAGGTCCTGAAGAGTCAGACAACTGAGAGTCCCATTGTGGCATCAAGCAGAAACATCCCAGTTATGAAACTGATTCCCAGAATAAGAAATGTAATCAGCATCCAGCACTTATTGTGAAATACATCAGCCTGTGAAGTGAAAGAGACCTTTGAAGTGTCTCCTTGTTACACAGAAATTACCCAAGAAGTGTCTCAGACTCACGGACTGCACGTCTGGATTTGGCTTTCCCCTCCTGAACTCTACTAAAAACCAGTTTCCAGGAATTTCAGGTACCTCTTGAGAAACCAAAACGTTGTCCCGAGGAAAACAGAAAGGTAGCAGCACATTTGGCACGGGCTGACAGGCAGGCACCAGAAAATCCAGCACGATCTTAACGAGCTCGTTGCCAACGCGAACAAAAGCTCAGTGAGAAACTAAACGGCCTTCTCCTCCTCTTGCGACAGAGGGCGGGTAGAGTTACAGCCCCTGACTGGGCATGATGTGAACCAGCACATGTCCTGCTTGGGATTTCAACATCCCTCAACACCGACGAGAGCCTGAAACTCACCTCTTGCTTATTTAAAGTGGCAAATTTCTCACTTGCTCTCTGGTTTTGATAAGAACTCTCTGACTTAGCAACAGAAGAGCTGTGTGGCAACAATGACAATTAAAAACTTACTGGTAATACATGGGGTTTGTGTTAAGAGAGTTGAGAGAATCCCACAGAAAACTCAAGAAAAAACCAAAAACAAAACCAGCAAGAATTGCAAGAGAAGTACAGCTCAGCAGCTCTGAAAAGTTTAACAATGACAACAAAGAGCTGGAATCTCAGTTGAAAAAGAAGATTCACCTTGCTGCCTTAACAGGAAAAGAGAAAATAAAAGAAGGGAAGCATCATAGATGAGCCTGGATTGATCAGGAAAACTCCCACAGGCTTCTGCAAAGTCACAACCAAGGAAGCATCAAATGAGATTTGAAATTGTTTTATTAACTTATGTGCTGCTTCAGACTCCTTACAGGAATAGGATTTGCAGTTATTTTTAACAGAACTAAGAGTGTAATCTTTTAAAAATCCATAACAGCATCACTTCTCTCTGTAAACGTGAGGGAGGAACGATGATCAATGCACCTTCCTGTTTCAATCCCTCTGTGAGTGCCACTGCAAGGCACTTCAGCTGGCTCAGGGTAACCTACAAAAATATCACAGCACACTTAAAAACCCTGGCTCACTTCTACAAGCAGTTTTTTCTTTCAAAATGATCTGCAGAAAACTGACAACGACGTTTGCCAAGTGCATTTGCCAGTAAAGAATAAGCTGTAGTGAGTATTCACAGTGCAATAGCTGTTCTGGTTTCATTCCCTGTCTTAGGGGCTTATTCCTCCTAGATGGGCCCTTTACTGTGAGTTGGTTTATCCCTTCTAAAGAGAACTGAGAAAAGACCTCCTAACAAAAAACCCAAACCCTGAAGTCACACAATGTTCCTGCAACACAGGGAGGTTTGGCCTGCAGAGGAAGGATCTCCTTTTCTTCACTCAAACAGAACCTCATTTTACCACTAAGTGCTGCACGTGGACTAGAGATCAATGATTTTAATTCACAGCACCCAAAACACAAAAAAAACCCACCCTGAAAACTGCACTGGATGAACTATGAAGCTACACACAGTGTCAAGTGCTGAGCTGGGAAGTGCCACCCTACCGACTGTGCCCATCCCCTGCTGAGAAACTGCAGCTGTGGGGCTTCACCTCCAGCACTTGACAGGAGGCTGGCAGCAGGGCTGGGCTTGCCAGCAGCACCACACCCCTGCTGAAACGCTCTGGGGGGTGTTAAATTCACTCCCACAACAGCCTCGGCTGCCCAGGCTTCTGGGAACATTAAACTCACCCTGCTACGTGAGCTGAACTCTAAAGGGTGGAGATAGGCTAGAAGAGGAAAAAAATAATTTAAAAATCCTACTACTGCTACATCTGCTCAAGGCTAAACATGAAAAGCCTCGTCCCTGTGTTTACCATGACTCCTGAGAGAGAGTTTTGTGACAAAATACCCTTGTACAACTCAAGAACCAAACAATAACAAAGTTATCACAACTACTTTCTTGCATAAATAAGCCCCGAAGCAGATTTTTGGGAGAAATCAACATTCCAGCCCAGTGTCTGGCAGCTTCCAGGGGTAGACCCAGATCCTGACAAACATCCAAACACACAGCAGCTGGCCAGCACAGCAGTGTTTGCTCTCACACACACAACTGGCAGTCAGGGCCGGCTGGTTTTTTTGAACAGTAAGATGGCATCAACCCAGGGTGCCCAAATTAGTGTTAAGAAATAATGGGAGGCTCCTTTACACCTTATTAACCTTTAATTGATACTTGAGGAAAGAAAGA